ATTCATCATATTTACTTATACACTCACTCCTCACTTATGGGTTTCAAAATTTGAGGGAAATATTCAGTATCTTTGCTTTCCATTTTTCCATGAGATTAGCCCCAAAGAAAGAAGACCAAAGAGTGCCTCTAGAAGGAAGGAGTGGCCAACACTGACAAATAGAGTTTAAAGTTTAAAGTCAAGCAAGAAAAATACTGAAAAGAGGCCATTCAATTTAGCCACATGCAGTGGTCACCAGGGCCACTGAGGATTTTGGAGAGATGGAGCAGCTGAGGGACACATGGGATTCAGTGAAGGATTTGGTTTTTCTTTGAATGGGTGTGATAATTACTGTGTTAGTCTGGGTACTTTAGAGAAACAAATCCACAGAAACTCATGTGTAAGGGAGAGTTTTATGTAAAGGTTAAGTGCGCATCAAGAAAACATCCCAACCCAGTGCTGCCCAAGCCCACAAGTCCAACATCAACCCATTAACCCATATGTCCAACACCAATCCACAAAGTCCTACTCCATCTCACAAAACGGACGCAATCATGCCGACTCCAGGAGGAAAGCCAAGTCAGTGAATGTGTAAACATTTCAGCGCTGGCAGGCGTCTCCACACGGCTACTCCAGCACCCAGGGCTGCATCGGGGTAGGTCCATGTGGCTTCTCCTCAGGGATATCTTGCAGGAAGTGAGCCTTGCCAGCTAAAGCAGGGAACTGGCTAAGGCAGCTACACCCTGGTCCACCATCACAAAGCAAGAGACCTGAGAACTAGAAAGGCGAGGCTCACCAAGCCATTTATCTCTCTGCCCTTCAATTAACCCCACATGTGTTTATTGGTCAGGTTGGCACAATAAACTCTATCTCAGTTACATAATCAGTTGTCAACTTGAGACAAGAGTAAAGGGGTGGAGTTTAGCCTGTCAATCAGGTCACAGCTTGATGACCTCATTTGGAGGCGCCATGGAGATAAATAGCTCGCTGGAGGTAGGGGATACACTGACTCCTTGCAAGACATTCCTGCTGACAACACATATGGAGCTATGTTAGAGCCCCAGAGCTGGAGGAGCCACGTGGAGACCCACGCCAGCATTGAGATGTTTATACTTCCACTGGATCCACAAGACTTTCCACCCACTGGCCTGTGATCGTCCTGCATTCGGTGCCATTGCATGTGTCTCACAAGTATGAAGAGCAATTTATGGACTAGCATTGACATATGGGGTAATATCAGACTTATGGACTAGCTCTGGACTGGGCTGGGCTGTTTTCTTAATATACAATTACTCTTTTATATAAAGCTCTTTCTTATACACATAGGAGAGACTGTCTTTCCTTCAGTGCTACATCTTCAGCAAGCCCTTTTAGGTCTCTCTTCTAAATATAACCCAAACCTGCTCAACCTCTACCCAGACACTGCTTGGGTTCAATCCACTAGGTCTCTGACATAGACTTACTTCTTGCTTTATTTCTGTCCTTTCTATGCCAGTCATAATAAATCAAACCGGCATTTATAGAGGTCTAAATAAAAGTATGTACATATGTAAATATATTTATATATGAGGATGGGGAAATAGATCTATGTGCATATATTTATAGGTTTAGTATTAAAGTAGCAGATGGACATTGGGCCCTCCACTCAAGTACTCCCTCAATGCAAGAATACTTTGTTTTATTAAACTGGCATTCCATGATGCTCACCTTCCTGACACGACCACGGAAGACAAAGTAGGTGCATAAGCAAATGTGGTGAAGAAAGCTGATGGAGCCCGGCTATCAAAAGATATAGCATCTGGGGTCTTAAAGGCTTGAAGGTAAACAAGCAGCCATCTAGCTCAGAAGTAACAAAGCCCATATGGAAGAAGCACACCCGCCTATGTGATCATGAGGTGTCGAAGATATCAGGTTTCAGGCATCAAAGAACAAAAAATCAAATAATTGTGCAGATTCGGAACCCAAGACCCATCTGTAGGCAACTGGACATCCCCTTACAGAAGGGTCACAGGGAGGAGAAGAGCCAGTCAGGGTGCAGTGCAGCAACGATGAAACATACAACTTTCCTCTAGTTCCTAAATGCTTTCTTCCCCCCCTCCCCCCATTATCATGATCCCAATTCTACCTTACAAATCTGGCTAGACTAGAGGATGTGCATTGGTACAGATAGGAATTAGAAACACAGGGAATCCAGGACAGATGAGAGTGGCAATACCAGGAGGGTGTAGGGAAGGTTGGGTAGAAAGGGGGAACCGATTACAAGGTTCTACATATAACCTCCTCCCTGGTGGATGGGCAACAGAAAAGTGAGTGAAGGGAGACATTGGACAGTGTAAGATATGAGAAAATAATAATAATTTATAAATTTCAAGGGTCCATGAGGGAGCGGGGAGCAGGTAGGGAGTTGAAAAATGAGGAGCTGATACCAAGGGCTCAAGCAGAAAGCAAATGTTTTGAGAATGATGATGGCAACAAATGTACAAATATGCTTGACACAATGGATGGATGGATTGTGATAAGAGTTGTATGAGCCCCAATAAAATGATTAGAAATAATAATAAATCAAACCATGACCACCTCTCACCCCATTTTACCCCTTGCCCACTATGCTCCAGCTCCTTGCAGTCTGTCCTCTACCCCTGTATTGCTCACCACTATCAGTGCTTAGCAAGTTTTTCTCCTTAATCTTTAGAACAGCTGACTCCTATGCATTATTCATGACTGCTCAAATGTCACTTCATCCAAAAAGTTTTCTTTGACCTTCCTTTCTCTCGCCCTCATTTCCCATTTTATCTTCTTCCCAGCTCTTATCATTTTCTGGACTTACCTTGTTCACTTATTTATTTGTCAATTATTCATATGCTCTCATTGAAAGTCGGAGTCCTGGTGGGCTGTTGGTAAGGGTTGAACTGCTAACCACAAGGTCAATGGTTCAAATCCACCAGCTGTTGTGAGGGGAAGGATGAGGCTTTTAGTACCCCCCAAAGATTTACAAACACCCCCTCCATTAAAAGTCAAAAAATTAGAAGAATGTCATCACATGCTGATTCTGGATGTTGGATTAATTTATGAACTGTTTCAGTTGTTAATAAACTTTCTAAAGCTATTTTATGAAGTATACATGCATCAAAATCTTAACGTTGGCAGCCAGGCAGAAAGTTGGTTAATAAAACACGTGTGTGATACAGTGGTTATGTGTTGAGCTGCTAAGTGCAAAGCTAGTAGTTCAAAACCACCAGTGAAGTCTTTGGAGAAAGATGAAGTTATTATTCCTATAAAGAGTCAGTGTCAGAAACCCCCAGGTGCAGTCCTGTCCTGTCCTATAGGGTTGCTATGATTCAGAATCTACTAGATAGCAGTGACTTTTATATAGAGAAATTACCTTTAAAACAACTATGAAGGACAGAAGAATATATTTCTCTGATTATCATACACCTCTCTGCTCAGGATCCTTGGTGGTACAGTGGTTAAGTGCTTTGCTACTAACAGAATGGTTGATGGTTTGAACCGAACAGTCTCAGGAAGAACATGCGGCAGTTGGCTTCTGTAAGGACTACAGCTTAGAACTTAAGAACTTAGAACTTAAGAACTTACTCTGCTCATAGAATTGCTCACTCTCAGTAGCAATTGACAGCAATGTTTTGTTTTGTTTTTTCTGTTGGTAAATCTTGTACTCTAGTAAATCAATGTAGAAATTGCTTAGGGCTCTTAAATTAGCATTAGTAGGAAAGTTTTGATGAAATAGAAATAAAGAAATAAGGTGCTCACATTACTATGTATCTATTATGCAGTATGCTTTTCTAATTAACACAAATTTGATAAATGATGAGAAATGAAAACTTTTAAGAATAGAAGAACCTGGCATAACATTTGTTTTCTCCAGGTTCTTCTAAAAAGTTTCCAGTTCTCATCTTTCAATTGGGGCATAGTAGTTATGTGTTGGGCTTCTAACCAAAAGATCAGTAGTTCAAAACCATCAGCTGCTCCCTGGGAAAAAATGAGGCTTTCTACTCTCACAAAGTTATAGTCTCAGAAACTCACGGGGGCAGTTATACCCTGTCAATAGGGTCGCCATGGGTCAGCACCAAATCGACAGCAGGGAGTTTGGTTTGTTTTTGGTATTGCATGTGAATCTGTAATTATCTAAAAACAAAAGGCCAAAAAAAAATAAATGAATTAAATAAAAACAAAAGGCCTCCTTAGGGAAAATTCTGAAAGAACTGAGGTTTCTCTTTTGTCTGCCTATTATTGTGAAATGTGTTCCTATCACGGAGCAGAGTGCCAAACTCAAAACTCACTGTCTCCCACAGACCACCTGGTGGATTTGAACTGCTGATCTTGTGGTTAGTAGCACAACACATAACCACCATGCCACCAGGGCTCCTAGTGAATATGGTGTCAGTGGGCACTAACTAAATCTTTGTGGAATTAATCAATGATATACTTCCTGTGTGTGTGTGTGTGTGTGTGTGTGTGTGTGTGTGTGTGTGTGTGTGTGTAAGGGAAAGAGAACACAATGAAAGGCAATCCTGAGTCGGAGGATTCTGAGGATAACAGTATTTGGCACTAGAATCTCATTATGGAGTTGGGCTCCGGTCTCTAGAACTCCTCCTCCACCCCAGGTTACCTCTCTCTTCAAGGAGCATTGGTAGATCACCACAGTAGTGGTTTGACGCCGTCTTTGGAGACGATCCATCAGTCGTAGATCATTTTTGTGCAGCTTACTCTGATTACACAGACCCTCACTTACTTGGGTTCCCATAAAGATAGGACCCGGCAGCACTTTGCCTGCGATGGTGTGGTAGGAGATTATCGAGATTCGTCCCCTGTGGGCCCTGGTCCTTGTGTCTGCAGCTGAGGTTTCAGGTTTCAATCCTGCCAGGACCGCGGGAGGTACTGAAGGCAGGGTACCGCTGCCTTGGCGCCTTAACCTCAGCAGCGAAGGAAAGATCTTTCCCAAACGCACCGGCTTGTCCTCCGCCTGCCCTGCCCGAGGCTGGGCGCCTTGGCTGAGGCTGGCTCCCGGCTCCGGTAGCTAGGGGCTCTGGGAGGCGGTGTTCACAGCTGGGCTGGGACTTCCTTCCTCCTCTGCAGGACAACAAAACAACCCGGCTGCAGGCACTGAGCTCTTGGGAGCTGGCTGGGCGACAGGCGCTGCGATGGGCTCCGTGCTGAGCAGCGACAGCAGCAAATCCACGCCGGGCTCCGCCATCCTCCGGGGCCTGGGGCGCAGGGGGAGCCCCGAGTTGCCAGTCACGTCTTTCGACTGCTCTGTGTGCCTGGAGGTGTTCCACCAGCCCGTGCGGACCCGCTGTGGCCACGTGTAAGTGCCGGCGGCTCAGTGGGGTTAGCGCGCCTCCTGGCTGGGGCGGGCGATTTGAGGGGGCGATGGTGGGTAAGGGGTCGGGTGGGGGATCACAGGAGCCAGCGCCATGAGGAAACCCGTCTCCCTGGGCCGGAAGCAACGCTCCGCACAGAAACCTGCACCACCAGGTGCGGGCCACAGGTGACCGTGCAGTCGGGAGGTGACACAGGATTGCGAGAGGACAAACACTGACTATTGGGGGCCCCTGAGCCCCAGGTGCCGAGCCCCAGAAATGGGCATTCCACCGGGCTAGGGGTTTAGGCGAGTCCGCCCTCGCCAGGTCTGGGGTGGGTGGTCTTAGCTACAGAACCGGAGCCCCAAGGAGCACCGGACTACGTGTCCCGGGGAAGGGCCCTCCGCAGCCCCGCGAGCCCCCCTGAAGTAGGGGAAGGGCGGCGGGCGTCTTCTCCCCAGGAAACCGCGGCCGGTTTTGTTTTGCTGGCTTTGTGCACGTGTTCAGAACGCCCACGGAGGCTCCCCTTTTGCTGGAGCTAACAAAGATCAGTGCAAACCACCCGGGCCTCCTTTCCGACACCGACCCCAGACCCCTCCAAGGTGGTCTCGCCAACCTGCAACCGCCTCCTGATCTGTGGAGCTTCAAGAAGCAGGTCACGGGGGTGGGGGCGGGGGAGGAGGGCATGGAGCTTAGACTTGAGCACCACGCCTGTCAACAAAGCCGCTCAAACCCCAGTAACAAAAGTGAAAAGATCACAGACTACCTGCTTCATGCACACCTCACCAAACCAATAGCAGGTAAATGAAAAGAACTGTTTTTAAGGTGACGTCAGATTTCACTGGAATTCGCTGTGAACGCAAAGCTGAGGTCATTTCTAAGAAGAGTTTGAAAACAAAAGTCCCATAGGAAAGGCACAGTGCTAAGGTGTGTTGCGTAACGGTTGGCAGTAGCTGGACCTGCGCATTGGAGTCCTGCACTTTTTCAGAAGCTCCCCCCTACCCCGCGTGGGTGGGTGGGTGTGGGTGTCAGGGCGTGTCTGAGTGTGTGGCGACGGGGAGAGTGGATAGAGCTAAGAGCGGAAACCCACTTAAAGTCTTTTGTGGACCGTAGACTCCACTCTGGTCGAAGGAAGCAACGGGGCAATACCGCAGTGACTTAACAGGAAAAGAGAAGGGCCCTATTATAAAAGCCAGCGGGAAAAAGAGAAGAAAAGGCATTTTCATCATTGACGTGGGGAGAAAAATGTGCAGTGCTTAAGTACAGAGTGCCCTGGGCATTGTTTTCTGGCTGTATTTTCTGCGGCCTTTTGTTTCCGGTTTGCATTTTAAACTCAGTGCTGGTCTACTTCACTTGTGACCATGTCTGCAGCTTCCCTGCCCTCCAAATGTAACGCTTTGAGAAAATAGCCAAGGGTCAGCAGGAAAGCTAAGATGCTGTGTAACAGCATAACACATATTGATTAGTTCAGGGCCCTCGTGGGCTAAGGACATCTTCATTTACATTTCCTCTGTGCTAGCTTTAGGATCTGAGGACTGTGCCAAGGCGAGGCAACGGAGATGCGTCTTGAAGATGACTCTCAAAGAACTGGGATGGGCGGCTTGGTCGTTGTGATTATCGGGCTGGAGAATGTTTTCCCCAGTTTGAAACTGGAATGGATTGTTTTGCAGTGTTTCAGTTTCTACTCTGCTCAAGGATAATATAAATTTGCAAAATGTCAAACCTTTTGTGCAGTTCATTTCTTTGTTTGAGGGAAAAGGAAACCAGCCCCTGGGAAAAAGTCAGAAAGTAGCACAACAAGGGCTGGACAGATTGCCACCCCTCGCCTGTCTGTTCTTTGTTTTGACAAATCTGTGTCCATTGTTCTGGCTGTGGGCAGAATTGCCATATTTCTCCTCTTGGCAAAGTTTCTTGGGCCCCTTCCACTTTGTCCGTGTTAACCGGGGCCCCTTCTGCACTGGCGCTGGGAAGCACTGTTGATGCCATTTGTGCTTTGTAAATGAATTATTCTCTTTTGTGGACCTTGATTGAAAAGAGGAAGAACTGCAAATAAAACCCCTCTGTGCTATTATCTCATGTTGAAGCTCAATTTCCAAACTTGTTCAACGAGATGGTTTATGCTCATTCTGTTTCTAAACCTAGTTTGAGCCAAGCAAGGATAATAATGACAACGGTATCTGGAATGAAGATGTATAAATTGGATTGTGCTCCAGTAGCAAGAAGGAGAGCAGGATCTGAAATTCAATTCTGCCTCTAATCAGCTGAGTAACCACCAAGTTGCTTAATCTCTTTGAATCTCAAGTTTCGTCATTTGTAAAATTGGATGATTAATGGAAATTGTATTGGTATTTACAACATAAAATAATGGAGCAAGACATATTGATTTCTGTTTCCTTTT